AGAATATCCAGGCTAGATATTCCAAGCAACTGGGCTATAGCCAATGGAACTCACCCCTACAAGGTAGAAATATGGGCCAAGGGAAAGAGGAATAGTAGATGTAGGAGGAGTGGGGACGGGGACAGTATAGTAGGTCAAATACACAGCTATTCTGATAATATCACCTTGCTGTGGTCTGGAGGATGGGCTGGCTCATAGGGGTGGGGAATGGGATATGGGGCCTTCTCCTCCAGGAGGTGCTGGTTCCAATCTGGCTCCAGGGTGGGGACTGGGTGGGGTTGGTTCTGTTGAGCTGGTGCCGGTGAGGGTCCCCTTAGCTCTGTGTCTTCTACATGCTCCCCCTCAACCTGCTCTCTCTGGTTGAGAGAGCAAACCATAAATAAATATGATCATTTGGACACTGTCTTAGCAGATCAAACACCTAAGAAACAGCCATTACTTTAAACCAACCCCCATTCCCCTCTCACAGCTAGGGCTAGAACCCAGTGGGTGGTGTAGTCATGGCCCCATACTGAGCTGTAGTAGGTGCTGTGTAAAGACAGAGGAAAAAGACAATTCCTGCACGAGAGAGCTTACTGTCTGAGGAGTCAGGGTTGATAGAGACCAGGACTCAGGAGGCCTTGATCCTATTCCTGGCTCTGCCACTAGTGGACTGAGTGACCTTGGCCTCAGTTTCCCCATTTGTAAAAACTGGGAGACTGCTCCTGACCTCCTTGGCAAAGTTCTTTGTGATCTACTGTGGAAAAGCAGGAGAGAAGAACTAGCTATTGCATTTATAATACACAGACTCTCCTATAATACACCACACCAAATGGATTTTAAACTATTTAGAAATCTAGAACCCCCATGAGATTTTTAGATCTATCAAAGAAGCTGGAACCTGTTGGATTCTATATGGTTTAAAAACACTCTAGAATCTACTGGGGTCCTAGCACCAGCCAGGAATCTAGAACCCACGGACCCTATTGAATGTGAACAATTTGAGAGACTTAAAGGGAAGATTCCAGAGCCAACCAATGACACAGAACCCAGAAGAATCAGTTAGGTTAGAATACATTGATTCTGTAGCCAGCTAGTGATCTGAAACTCTAAACACCCATTGAGTTTTATAATGTTGAGAGACCTAGAACACATGGGATTCTGCAGATAACAAGGAATTTGGAATCCCAAGGACACTGCTCGGTTTATAAACATTGAGATACCTGGAACCCATCAGGTTTCAGAACCGTCAGGAATGAAGGAACAGGCGGGATGACAAGTTGCCAGTGCTCTCTGACTCCTGGCACTTTCAGGCACTCGTGACCGACCCTGGCAACGCATTCTTGTAAAACAGCAGGCCGTGGCAGAGGTGGTCGGGCAGCCAGCAGAGCAAGAACGACACCACCGCAGTCACCGTGACTTTGAAAGGCTTCCCTCTCCTCGCCAACCCCTTCTTCTTTATCTCCAGCCCTGTCTGAACCTGGCATCCCACGCTGGTGCAAAGGGGCAGCAGGAAGCCTAGCAGAAACTGCACCCTGAACAGCAGCAGATGGAGAGGTCTCCTCCAGGCCTGCATCTCGGCTCCCTCTCCCTCTCCAGAGAAGGTGTAACTATTCGTCCAGACGACCCTGCCCCCTCCATCTCCAGGAGTTCCAGGAAACCCAGTTAGGGAGCGCTGAGGGCGAAAGAAACCAGCTATACAACCGCGACCAGCTTCCTGACCCAGGTCACAGTGCGGGGATGGCAGCACCAGACGGGGGGCAGTCGAGAGTGCAGCGGTCCAGGCCGGAGAGGATGAGGAGGAAGATGGCAGAGAACATGCCCGGGGAGAGGCAGGCGTTGAGGAGCTCATACATGGCCATGCCGAAGACCCAGCAGGAGCCTAGGCAGAATTATAAAGAACAGAATTATAAAGCAGGACGTGAGCAGGTTGGTGAGGACCAGATGGAAGATCAGAGGGAGGTCATCATTGTCCCCATATTCAGCCCCAGAACCCACAGGCAGAGCCCACAGGCAGCAACCCCATCAGGGGGTGCCACACGCAGCTGCCACTTGATTTCCTTTCCCGACCAGCTGGGGGTTGCTCCCAGTGGCTGCCGGACTGGTGGGAAGGCAGAGGTGCGGTGAGGGGCCAGACTGGCCGGGAAGAATGAGGTTCCATGAGGGATCAGGCCGGTCAGGAAGGCGGAGGGGCCGTGAGACCCTAAGGAGGAGCAGGAAGAACACAAAGGGGATTAGAGGCAGCAGAGGGGAGGGAGAGAGAGAGACAGACGTGTGCAGCCCGTGCCCTAGCAGTGAGAAACACGCCATTTCATTCTCCTCCCTGCACAAACCAATGAGGCTGCAGCCACACACAGGGTAGAACCAGAATCCTGGGTCTCAGCACCTGTATCCCCGAATCTAACTCAGTGCCCTCCCTTCCCCTTCCCTCCCCGAGTATGGCCAGAACCCAGGAGTCCTGACTCCAGGCCCCCTCAGTCTAGCCCTTTGGACCTCATTCCCCTCCCAGAACTGGGACTAGAACCACTGGTTTCTGGCTCCCCACACAGACCTGCTCTAACCACTTGACCCCTCTGCCCTCCCCTAGCCAGGGATAGTACCCAGGAATCCTGGCTCCTAGCCCCTTCCTCCCCCCCCCCACTCTAACCACGAGACCCCACTCCCCTCAGAATTCAACCTTGGTCTCGTGTACCATGCCGTTGGTGGCTGTTTTCCCAGTAGCGTTGGGTTCCCATTGGGGTTCTCAGGGTCCCAGCTCCGTGGATGGGGCCTGTGTAACGAACACTCTGGGGAGGGCTGGGTGTGACTGAGATTTTATCTAGAATAGGAAGGGGCCGCATTTCACAGGAGTTGTACCCACAACATGTAGATAACACAGGACTCCACACAACTATTGATCTGCTCTAACCACTAGACGCCACCTCCCTCCCAGAGCTTGGAACAGAACCCAGGGTCCTTACTCCCAGTGTCCCCCGCCCCACGTCAAACCACTAGAACCCCCCACCCACTCCTTGGATGGGAGTTGCATCATTTGTGACTCAGACTTTGTTGTGAGCTAACACTGCTGGGTTATTTCTGGGTCGAGTTGTGAGATACAGGCCCTTTCTCTTCATGGGGGCACACCTCAATAGTTGAGCTCCTGGCCAAGAATCTAGTGCATTGCGGGGGGGCCTGGGAACCAGGACTCCTGGGTTCTATGCCAGGCTCTGGGAGGGAGTGGGGCTAGTTTTAAAGCAATGATTGTTGCTTAGGTGGTTTCTTTGCTAAGACGGTGTCCAATGATCATTTCCGTTCATGGTTTGCAGCTTGTGGATCTCAGAGAGCAGGTGGGGGTGGAGCATGTAGAAGACACAGAGTTAAGGGGAGTGAACTCAACACACAGGGGAGGGCTCTGGGGTGCAGGGGACAGACACATGGATGCTTTGCTGGCCAAACACACAGCATCTGAGGCTCTCTCTGCGCTGGGTCTGTTTCCACCACCCGCTGCCCAGGTGAGTCAAGACAGTGGGCGGAGGGCCCCATGTTGGGTCTAAAGGGGAATTTTCTTGCTAAGCCCCCCTAGAAGCCACAGAAATTTGCTATTGTAAAGGCAAATTGGTGGGACTCCCTGCCACTGGGTATCTGTGGGGTTCCCATGGGGCACTCAATAGACAGAGGTAGTAGGTGAGGTCAGTGACATGGGTAAAGTTTTTCCCCTTATTTCATGTTAGTCTGACGAGTTGATCCCCATTTACAAAGCTCTAAGCCAGCAGTTCTCAACCTTTCCAGACTACTGTACCCCTTCTATTGTGTACCCCCAAGTTTTCCCTCACTTAAAAACTACTTGCTTACAAAATCAGACATAAATATACAGATGTGTTACAGCTACACTATTACTGAACAATTGCTGACCTTCTCATTTTTCCCGTATAATTATAAATTAATTGCAACATAAATGTTGGACTTACATTTCAGTGTATAGTACATAGGGCAGTCTCAGCAAGTCACTGTATGAAATGTTAGTTTGTACTGACTTCGTTAGTGCTTTTTATGTAGCCTGTGGTAAAACTAGGCAAATATCTAGATGAGTTGATGTACCCCCCGACAGACCTCTGCGTACCCTTAGGGGTACACATACCCCTTGGCTGCGAACCTCTGCTCTAAGCCACAAGACCCCAATTTCCTCCTACAACCCAGGAGTTCTGACCCCCACCCCACTCCCAGAGCTGGGTGTAGAATCCAGGAGTCCTGGCTCCCAGCCTGCCCTTCTCTAACCATTAGGCCAGGCTACAGAGCACAGAGGACACTGTGCTAACAAGGCCGTAAGGGACGCAGTCCCTTCCAGAGGCAATAGCTCAGAGGACCCGGCTGCAGGGCTGGCAGCCCGGCTTGGGGGCAGAGCAGCAGCTCGGTGGATTGTGGTTTCCTGTTGCAATGAGGGTGAGAAGGACCCTGCGCGCTCTCTCGAGTCAGGGTGTAGCAGCAGTTCCTGTGACTGGCAGATGAGCAGAAGAGATGGGGTGGGGGCGGGGTGGCTTTTTCTGCCTTGTGGCAGTGAGTTACACTGGCACCAGCTCCTGCATGCTAGGAGTCAACAGCACCGATCCCCCCTCAACTGAGTAGCCCTGATCCCCTGCCCTGGGGCCAGATTAGAGCTGGCCACCCAAGAGTGGAAAGGCCCCGTGGCCCATTCCCTGCTCCCCTGAGCCAGCCACATCACAGCTACATGATATTCTCTGCATAGCTGTATATTTGATCTCCTAGACTGTCCCCTTCCCCACTTCTCCCATGTCTGCTATCCCCCTTGTCCTCCCCTACTGCTCACAGCTCTATCCTGCAGCAGTGAGTTCCACCGGCTATAGCCCAGTTTCTGGGAATATCTACCATGGATATTCTGGAGGACCACAGAGTGCCCAGCGACGTCCTCTCCAGTGTTACCTTACTAACCCACACTGGTATTTCTCCCTTCTCCACTTCCATTCTCCCTTTTGGCCTCCAATGTTGTCCCTTCGAACCCCTCTTCTGTCTCTTCCCAGGGTACCATGGAACAAGATATCACGGCACTCCCACGAACCACAATGGCAAATTCCAGTAAGATCGCAGACACTACCAAGACCTATCACCTGGCCTCTGCTGTGTTGCTCTTCATCACCTTCCTGGTGGGTGTGGTGGGGAATGGGCTGTACCTGTGGGTGCTGGGGCTGAAGATGAGGAGGACAGTGACCACGCTCTGGTTCCTTCACCTGGTCTCCTGCTACCTTCTCTTCACCCTGCTAATCCCGTTCTTTGCCATCTACGTCCTCGTGGATTTCCACTGGGTCTTTGGCATGGCCATGTGCAAGCTTCTCAATGCCTTCATTTCCATGGGCATGTTCTCCTCTGTTTTCCTTCTCACACTCATCAGTCTGGACCGCTACACCCTCACTCACCATCCCATCTGGTCCCGGAATCACCGCACCCTGTCCCGAGCTTGGAAGCTGGTTGTGGGTGTGTGGCTGGCCTCCTTCGGTCTCAGCACTCCCTATCTGGCTTTCCGGGAGACCCAGGTGGTGGACGGGAGCAGAATCATCTGCATCAACAATTACGCCCTCTCCGGAGACCAAAATGGAGCTGAGATGCAGGAGCTGGACAGACAGGTCCACCTGGCCATATTCGTGGTCCGATTCCTGCTGGGCTTCCTGCTGCCCTTCTGTACCATCGTGGGATGCTATGTCCGCGTGGGGCTGAAGATGAAGGAGAAGAAGCTGGCGTGGGCTGGGAAGCCCTTCAAAGTCGTGGTGGCCGCAGTGCTTTCCTTCTTCCTCGGCTGGCTCCCCTACCACCTCTACCACGGCTTGAAGCTCTACAAGAAGGCGGTGCCAGAGTCAGTGACGGGTGCTCTCATGGTCATTTACACCTTGTCATCCTGCTTCAGTGCCTCCTTCTCCTCCATCCTCTACCTCTTTGTGGGGGAGAAGTTCTGGCAGGTCTTCAGGAAGTCTCTTCTCACTCTGGTCAAAGAGGCTGTTGTCGATGATCTAGGCAGCAGTACCGCTGAGTCTAGTGAAAGACAGGAGTCAGAAGTCTAGAACACAAAACAGGAGATGGTCTGAAGTTGCCCAGACTTAGGAAGAGTTGAAAATTTGCCATCCCCTTTGTTCCTAGATTCCTGCTTGTTCTGAAACCTGATGGGTTCCAGGTATCTCAATGTTTATAAACCCCAGTGTCCCTGGATTCTAGATTCCCTGCTCTCTCCAGAATCCCATATGTTCTGGGTCTCTCAATTTTTTCAAACTCAGTGGGTCATCAATGGCACCAGATTGCTAGCCAGCTCCAGAATCTTGTTGGTTTTAGGTCTCTCAATGTGTTCTAACCTAATTGACTCTCTTGGATTCTGCATCTCTAGGTGGCTCTGGAATCTCATTTATTGTAAGCCATTCAGTATGTTCAAACTCAAAGTCTACTGAGTCTAGGTCCCTGACTGGATCTAGGACATCACTGGATTCTAGAGTGTTTTCAAACCACATAGAATCCAACAGCTTCCAGATTGCTTGCTAAAAGTTTCATCCTGGTTCTAGATTTTCAAATGGTTTAAAATCCATTAGCTGTAGTATATTATAGAAGAGTCTGTGTATTATAATAGCGATATCTAGGTCTTCTCTAGTGCTTGTCATCAGTAGATCTCAAAGAACTTTACCAAGGAGGTCAGTAGCAGTCTTCCAGTTTTTACAAATGGGGAAACTGAGGCACAGAGTGGGGAAGTGACTTGGCCAGTGTCACCCAGTAGAACCTTTGGCCTGTCCAGTGGCAGAACCTGGAACAAACCCAGCTCTCCTGTGTCCTGGCCCAGGTCTCTATCCATTCTGGGCTCTCTGGGACATGGACTGTCTTTTTGTTCTGTGTTTGTACAGTGCCGAGCACATTGGGGTCCTGGGCCAGAGCTGGGGCTCCAAGCTCTGCTGAAATAAAGAATAGTAATTATTAATAATTCCCAGGTTTTGCTTGAACTACGCAGTTTCCATAAGTTTTTCTGTGGCAGCTCTGAAATAATTTCCAACACCATGTGACCCGATCACTGGGATATTTTGGGTGGGGAAGCTCTGGCTTAGTTTCAGAGCGGCTGGTAAGGAAAACAAGTCAGTAGAATAAAGAGCTGCTCCAGAGAAACCACCTGCCCATGATCACTTCAGGGTGGTGAAGAGGTAACGTCCAAGCTAATAAGAGTGACACTGTATGGAATATGGGTGATCATTCATAATGTTATGGATACAAAATTGCAATGGAACATACCAGATATACCATGTAAGCTATCAGTGGGAAAGTTATCATTTGATAAATATGATCAGTTTGTTTATGTGTATGTATCATCTTTGTATTGTGAGTTGTAAATATGTGTGGTATATTGATATCTCAGACCTGTGCTGTGTATCCGGGTGACAGCCCCAGACAGCTTGCATCAGCCCTGTCCAGCCCGTTGGATGGGCCATGAAGCATTGGCTGTCAGTGTGGCGTTTTGGGTAAGATCCAAACCAGTATTGATCTGGGAATGTGGCTGGCCCTTTGGGGATCAGAAGAACATTTTGTGTAGTGAATAGAATTTTAAGTAACTTCTCACTTTACTGGACCTATTTGCTGACTGGGAGCCTAAGATTGGAATGCAATAAAGGGGGCTGTGGGATTTCTTCTTCTTCTTCTTCTTTCTTTCTTTTTTTGGCTTCTTGATCACCAGTGTGGCGGATCAGGAGCACAGCTTGTGAGTGGTTGGTGAATCTAACTACAGTGTTAACCACCAGTTTTGGGATAAACTGCTCTCCTTTTTGCTGCCCACCCTGACCTTGGCATTTTCAGTGTGGGCTGCCCTCTGCACCTCTAGTCACAGGTCACAGTAACTGTGAAGATCTCACCTGCCAGCTTGAGCTAAGTTACAAAACCTTGGCCAAGGTTGGGGGGCAGCAGATCCAAAAGATGATAAAGAGTTAAAAAGATCCTCCCGATTCTCCATCACTGGCAATTTTTAAAGCAGGATTGGATGGTATTTCTAACAGGTCTGCTCTAGTTCAAATAGGGACTAATTCAGGGATGTTCTGAATCAGGTCAGACTAGGGGACCACCATGCTGCTTCTGGCCTTAGAATCTCTGATTCTATCCAGAGGTCAGGCAGATGTTGTTGGGGTACTGTACCAATTGTCACCTGGACCCACTGTGGTATCTGAGGAAGCCAGGCCTGTGTGGGCCACCAGCCCCAGGTGGAGGGCTGTAGGTAAGTTAGACATGCACATAGCCCATCTGTTTTAAACATCTTTTCCCATTGCTACTGTTCAGAGGAAACAAGACTGCCAAACATGACAGATACCGTCTCTCGCTGATTCAGAATTCAATAGGATCTTATGGATTCTAGGAATCCTGGCCAGTTCTTAACCTCTTGGTCCCAGGTCTGTCAGGGTTTTGAATGCAATCTGATCTGATGTGGGCTAGATTTAGACATTATGTTTTCCAAGCCACTTTATGTTTCAAAAGCCAATAGGATCCTATGCATTCTAGGTATTTGGCTGGTTCTTGAACTTCTTGGGTTCTAGGTCTGCCAAGATTTAAAAACCCGAAGAGATCCTATGTGGTCTTGAGCATCCTAGTTTCCAACCTCATACCTGACATCCTAGAGCGCATAGGACCAGTTTGGGTTTAAAATTTTTTGGTCAGAGCAAGAACCCAAAAGGTTCAAGAATCACTCAAATGTCTAGAACTCTTGGGATACTATTGTGTTTTTAAATGTGTGTGTGTGTGTGTGTATACATATACATATGTGTATATATATATAATATACACACACACAACAGTACTGCATTAGTTCTAGATATCTGGCTTGTTCTTAAACCTCTTGGGTTCTATGTATAATAGTGTCTTGAAACCCAATTAGATCTGACAAGGTCTAGTAACTGAAGGGTTCCAAGTACATGGAATCATGTACTGACTTGAAACACTTTCCAAGAGGCCTGATGTTCACAAAGGGTTCAGCTATTTCTTCTGGAAAATCAGGCCTCTTTAACGGTGTTCATTTGGGACACCCCCCCATAGAAGCATAACAAATAATCACCAATTATTTTGGAATATTAAGCCTGTAAGGCAATAGGGCTTGGAGCGAACAGGCCAGCTCCTCGGCCAGTGTAAATCAATGTAGCTCTGTTGACTTCACTTCAGAGTTCTTGGGCTCTTCTCCTGCTGCTGGGAGATGAGTGGGCTCTAGCAGGTTAGCGTGGGGGGGCTAGGAGCCAGGACGCCTGGGTTCAAACCCCAGCTCTGTGAGGAAATGGTGTTTAGCAGTTACAGTAGACTTAGTGACACCAAAACATTTAATGAATTAGTGTCAGATTTGCCAAATTGTTTCACTCAACCACCAAAAAGCCGACATTTTCAAAATAAAACACTGTGATGTTCTTATTCCAAACAGCTTTGCTTGAAATTTGTTTAATTTTTTTATTCATTTAAAATGTGTAAAAACCAAGCTCAGGAAAAAAAAAAACATTTCCTTTAGACTGAAACAATCTCCATCCCCACCCCCCACACCTTTTCATTAGCTAATAATAATAATTTGGGGTCATCCCAAATGAGCCCCCCCCCCGCACCTCGGCTGTTCAGAACAACTAGAGACCCAAAGAATCGGTTATTGGCACAGGACTTACATGCCACCTGTGGTCCCAAGTCAGCCAAGTCACCAAGTCAAAGGTGATAATAGGGACGGGAACTCAAACATCTCCATGTTGAGATCAAAATAGCAGTGGCTGTGTCTCTAAGCCCCCACGTGTCAGCTCAGCGTGGGTGTTACTCACCCTCAATTTCCGCTGGAAGCCGTACTTCGCAGAGGTGTGAACTGCTATTAAACACAGGTGTGAACAGCTCAAGGAGTGGACTCAATTTTGTTATATGGCTGCACTGGCCCTCGGTCCTTGTGCGTGGCTGAGCTCAGGGGCCATCCAGGCTCGACGTTTGGCCTCTTTGCTATTTCCCCTCACTCTGCACTGAGAACATTATAACCATCTGAAAATGTTCAATCAGCATGTGTGTGTGGGGGGGGCCTGTATCACGGGAACTCCTGGACCAAAGGACCCCCAATTTGCATCACAACCCCCCGCTCCATTGCTCAGTGCCGATTTTCAAGGCAGTTGCCCCCTGCACGGAGGCTTCAGTGCAATTTGTGAATATTAACAGCAGCTCATCTTCAGGGAGCTGCGTCTCCTGACGTCCCTGATCAAACGACCGCTCTTTCCTCCCGCAGACTCCAGCAGAGCCCCTGCGGCTTGGTGCCACTTTCCAAGTCAATGCGAGTCTGTAACTGGTTTTCAGAGCGCTGTGAAAAAAATTAAGAACGGCTCCTTTTCATGCAGCTTTAACTGAGGGCCCCGGATCACAAGCCTCTGAATCTGACCCACTCGCTCTGCCCCGGGCCTTCCTCAGAGACGGCCAATTTCAAGCCAAGCCGAGCGGGCACGTGGATTTCAGAGCACTTGGACTCGTCGGTTCTGACAGGAAAAGGTTTCTCTGTAGGCCCGGCTGCAGGAGCGGCCTTAGCAGATCTGAAATAAGTATCTAAGATTACAAAAATTGTAAGTGAGGGCAAGGAAATGCATTAGATTATCTTTTGTTTTAGCATGTGAATTTTCCCTATGCTAAGAGGGAGTTTTATTCCTGCTTTTTGTAACTTTAAAGCTGAGCCTAGAGGGGAATCCTCTGTGTTTTAAATATTTTTATTTACCCTGTAAAGTTACCTTCCATTCTGGTTTTGCAGGTGTGATTCTTTTCCTTTTTCTGTAAATAAAATTCTTCTTTTAAGAACCTGACTGATTTTCAGTGTCCTAAAAACGCAGGGGTTTGGTCTGTGCTTACATTGTAACCAAGTGGTTTGTATATTATTCTCAAGCCTCCCCCGGAAAGGGGGTAAAGGAGTTTGGGGGGAATATTTTGGGGAAATAGGGACTCCAAGTGACCCTTTTCCTGAATTTTTGTCCAACTCACGTGGTGGTGGCAGCAATACTGTCCAAGGACAAGGTAGGATTTGTGCCTTGGGGAAGTTTTAACCTAAGCAGGTAGAAATAAG